CGATTAAAACAAAATAAGGCAAATAAATAAATAAAAATGACACTGTCCTCCTAGGAATACATAGCAGGACCCAGGGATTCACGCACATGTTAGTGTAATCATTAACTGCTGTTTTGTTGCAATGCAAAATCCACAGGAGTTTTGCTGCAAACCTTTCACCGGTGTGGCTTCTTTATCTCCGCCACGTCTGGTTTCACACTCCTAGTTTAATCTTATTTTTGTCTACTGAGCATAAAAAAAAGGTTAAGAAACTGCATATGGAGCTGTCTACGGAAGAATGAAAAGAAAGCCACCCCCTTCAGACACTTTAACACTTGAGAGCAACAGTTTATAGGATTGCATTTTATATTTGGTATACATTTCATTTTTTTTCTGTCCTTCTGCGCGAGGAAGCTGAAATAGCAATTCCTGTGCAGACAGCAGAACATAATGCATTGCGGGCACAGTGTGCTTCCTTGTGAATGTGCTGCTCGTAGTGTATGAAATGCAGCATTTTCTTCTACGACGTCTTTTTATTTTCTCTTAGTATTTTGTACAGCCAGACTTCTATCTTTAGGTTTCACTTTTTCTCAGCTGGAAACAAACCGACACCTTACACACAAACAAAAAAAAACACTTGACTTGGGGCTTTCCTGTAGGAAATAACAAGAAATAACTAAAAGAGGAATCATTAATCGAAACCAGAGAATTGAAGTCGACTTTCAGGATGATTTTCTTTATTTTTTTGTCTTGAGAACTCAAACATGCTCGTTATGTCTTTTTTGTGGCATTTAGGAGCAGGAGTTGATGAAGATAGTTGGCATCAAGTATGAGGTGGGTTTGCCCACGCTGTGCTGCCTGAAGTTGGCGTTTCTGGACCCAGACACTGGAAAATTAACCGGGGGATCTTTCTCTATGAAGTAAGTGTCTCTCTCTGCCTCCACATAAGAGTACAGGGTTTTTCCTGACTCATATCTGGCCTCTGACTGCAAGTCAGAATGCAGCTCTGTTATCTTACTTAGTTACCCTAACAGTAGGGTTTGGTACCTTTCACGTTTGAAACAATGCTGGTACCAGAGTTGGGGAATTTGAGACTGTTTCCCAATTATACCTTTTTCCAGTGCAGCTTTTTGTAAAATAATACATAAGACATTTTTATCCAGCTACCTAATTACCTGAAGAAGATGTAGGGGTCCCGACCATCATCCGTGGGTTCAGTGGCTCATATGTTGGCAACAGACCTCTGCTGTATTTGGCTTTCAAGATGTCAAACACTCCACAGTTTTTAGATGTATTCTTGAGTCTGACAAGGTGCTTCCCCAGATTAGATGTGTTGTCACGGCCAGCTTTGTGTTGCCTGCTTTGTGTTTTGAAAAGCGTAGGCCCACCCGAGGCTGCTTTTTGCACACCGCTGCTGCCATTGGCCTGTGTGATTGTTGCTCTTTGACACATAACTGAATTAACGGCACATGGTCTCACTCGCTCTCCATCTTCCTTTCGTCCAGATGTGTTCTAATACCTGAATTTGGCACCAACTGATTGCATGCAAATCAGTACTTGGCAGTACCGATTTGGTTGATAGTTTTAAGAAGTAGAAAAGTTCATTTCTGAGTTGAGAAACAAAAATGTGTGTGCTGCTTTTTAAATCCTGATCGTTTTTCTTTGGCTGTGGCTAAAATCATCTGTGGAAAAACTGCTGTTGTAAAAGAGTTTGTGCATAGGTGTAAAAAGACTGCAATATATGCCAAACATTTATCAGCTTTTAAGATGAGCCGACGTCATTAATCTTTCTAAAACACTACGGGACTCGTGTCTTATATGATGTTATACGGTCTCTCTTCAACTTTGCAACATGGCAGTTATAAAACTCACATTTCAGCAGGTTTCATATCTTTACACAAGACAAGAGGTTGTTCATAAAAACAATGACTCCAGTAATATTTCCTGACAGCAGATAGCATATACTTTATGCATACAGAAGTGAACTGCTACTACAAATCTCTCGACTACTTGCAGGTACCACGACATGCCTGATGTAATCGACTTCTTGGTGTTGCGGCAGCAGTTTGACAACGCCAGAAAAAGGCAGTGGCGCATAGGTCAGTTTTACCTTTGCGGTGCGACTTCACTCAAATATAAATGATATCGTATATGACATTCATTTTCTTTTTTGCAGAGTTCTCTGTAGTAATGTGATGTCTCCATAGGTGACAGGTTTCGGTCAGTGATCGATGATGCCTGGTGGTTTGGGACCATTGAGAGCCAGGAGCCCTACCAGTCCCAGTATCCTGACAGCTTGTTCCAGTGCTACAATGTCTGGTATGACCACAGCTTGGATTTGCTCTGTTCTCAGCAGGGTTGCACTTCTTTTTGGCATAACAGCAAATCTGTTGCATTCGCATTAGGTAGGACCAGAGATGGGCAGTAACGCGTTACTTGTTACTTTTTTCAAGTAACAAGTAAAGTAAAGGATTACTATTGCAAAAAACGGTAATTAGATTACCGTTACTTTCCCGTAGGAACGCTGCGTTACTGCGTTAATAAAACCGTGATTTTTTTGCGAGAATGTCTCATGACAGTGACGTAAGCGAGTGCGACGTTCGTGACAACAGCTGTGTGCAGATCAACAATGGATCATATATCGAGTGCAGAGAGAGTATGAGCGTGCAGCGTTTAAAGCGTGGAAGTACTGACCTTACTTTGAGTTTGATTCCATAAAAAGTGACAAAAACATTAGTGTCCGTTGTGCGTGGGAAAAAAACTTCTTTTTACAGCGAAAAACCCCTAAACTTCCGAGCAAGCACCGAGTAGCTACGACGTAATGGGAAACTCACAGAGAAACTCGCGGATTCTTGCTGGAATGTGCAGAAAATAGGTTTAAATATTAAACAAATTTCTTCCAGTCAGAGAATGTTACATATAATTAAATGTTTGCTTGATGCATAAAGTTTAAAGATTAAAACTAATAAAACAAGTTTTAAAAAGAGACTTTTCCATTTGATTACATTTTGTATGATGGATTATGCAGAAAAAGTAGAATTGGGCTGAAAGATCTATCGCTTTATCACCTATTCAGGTTGTAAATTGTGTTTTTAAAAAGTAGCTAAGTAATTAATTACTTTTGAAACTAAGTAATCAGTAAAGTAACGGGATTACTTTTTGGGGGAAGTAATCAGTAATTAGTTACTGATTACTTTTTTCAAGTAACTTGACCAACACTGGGTAGGACTGTCTTGCATCGGCAAGACTGCAAGACAGTCTATATAAGAACAAAAATGTGCACAGGCAGAGATGCATACAGAAACAAAGACATTAGATCAAAGGAATGACGCAAACAAGACCAACATGAATCACATTCAAAAGAACTCGCTGGTGATGGTGAGGAAGAGGAAGTAAAGAGGAGCAAAGTGTCACATTGACTTTTATCAGATTCAAAGGTGATGATGACAGTCACTACATACTTGACGTGTTTTTCCTCTGAATGCCAGAAATATCTCTGAGACGCTGAAACAATAGGTTAGAAAGCCAAAGTATAGATGATGTAATCACCACTAGACTCCACTACAGTCATGTACAACAATGGCATACGATAACGTAGACGAGGCTTACTTGATAGAGCTAGTGCCACCTCTTAGTGTCACCATGAAACTTCCCCTAAAAATTGCACGCTATGAGTCAGAAAAATTTCAACCAGGATTTTTTTTTTTTGGTCTTCTTTGTTTTCTTTGATGTTGGCTGTTGCAAAAGTGTGAAACCCTCAAATCAGTTCCCACTTTGTCTACTGTCCAGTTGGTCTCCTGGTACAGAAAGATAATAGTGAATACTATTATTTAACGATTTCAAGTTCTTACATCCTGAAACACCAACAGAATATTTGTCATTAAACTCGGACAGATAGCTGCTTGTGATTATGCTGCATCTCACGGACCCTCGCTATTGCACGAAACACCTCGTGGTTTGGAAAAACTTTAAAAATACCTTTTGCATTGCTGCGACTTTACAGTTTGAACCACTGATACATATATTGTATGTTTACTGAGCGTTTCGCCATCAAACATTATTTGAAACCTTGTTAAAGAATGAAGCGGTATGCTCAATTCTACATGCCGACTTTTTAAAATACAAAAGAACTAACAAAATACTAAGATTACAATGTGATGATGATGATGATTATAATCCAACCCCGTTTCCCATCCAGCTGGGATAATGGAGACACAGAGAAGATGAGTCCTTGGGATATGGAACCCATCCCCGATGATGGTAGGAATCTGAAATGCGGTGCTCATCTGAAAAACAACAAAGAACTCATTCCTTCAGTTTTAACAGCTTATAGTTGTGACAGTTTCTTATGTCTTTGCAGCCACGTTTCCAGATGAGCTGGGCCAGAGTGTTCCGCTCATCGAGGAGGAGCAGAAGGAGCTGCTGTACGTTCCCCTGGACGGTGAATGGGGCTGCCGCACACGCGCCGAGGAGTGCGAACGCATCATCAAAGCCATCGACCAGCTCTGCACTCTCGGTATGATGTCACGAAGCGCCCGTTAACATTAGCCACGTAAGCGGTGATATGAAGTTCCGCCATGAGGGCGCATTTCTTGTAAGGTAGCAGCTGGATGAGTCTTCCCAGTGTGAGTCACCACTCTTAGCCCATGAGTCAGATGAACCAGGCAGGGGCCTGGATCATATAGTCAAAGGAGTAAGCTGCTAACACAGTGA